TTTCGCTTTGTTTAAACACAAAAAATCCTCGTTTTGAGACAAAATCCATTTGCATAATGTCTTCATGCACAGGTAGAATGTGTTAGGTGGGTGTGATAGTGAGCCATAGGCGAGCCACATGCCCTGTGGCACCACCTGCCATCCAAGTGCCAGTGTTTTCTTGCGTATCTGAAAAGCCTGTGTAGGAATAACACTGTGGAGACACTGAGCTTCATCACTATGTTGAGAACACTGTGGAACAGAGACAAGAAAAGAGCCTACAGCAACATTAGAGAGGAATGATGGAGAGATATTGTGCTTATGGCTTCTTAATATTATGCTAAAACAGAAGGAATCTTTTTATTTGCATAGTGGGTGATATATCTGTTTATGTGTGCAACTAAGTAAACCAAATTGTAAGTCGATTCCCTTGAAATAAACACTGTGGCTCAGCATCTCAACCAGTCCAACGCAGAAACAGATCTTAAATTGCATTTGGGGGCGGGGTTATGTGTTTGCCCAACCAATGGATGAAAAGGGGCGTGCCTTCAATTCTGCAATTTCTGCAATTCATTTTGGTGAAGAAATTACACACTTGACATAAATGATCTAATTCCAGATAAGTAACCAATGCTTAAAATTATAGATTAGAAATATCTTAATACATTATTGTAAAATATTTAATTTAGCATTAAGTTTTAGGAGGTGAGGTATATAGATATATGATGCTACAGTAACATCCATAAAAAAATGTTAGCATATTCTTAGCAATTATTATCTAAATATTAAAACAAATATCAAAATATAAATATGAATATATAAGTTCAAGTATAAACCATACCTGGGATAAAGAGAATTAATAATTGGATCAAATGGACTAATAATTCACTTTAGTTAAAAACACTTTACTTTTCAAAATCATTAAATTAGAGTAAAAAAATAGTTTTTTGAGGTCAATAAAAAAAAAAACTAGTGGTTGTGACATTTTCATAATTTTATATTCACCGAGTAGCTCAAGTAATATTAGCTTGTGCAAGCACTGTATTTATAATAGCAAAATAAATATCCTTTAAAGTTGGCTCTGGCTGGCATATTAAACATATAGACATAGCATACATATTTTCCATGGATAAATACCATCACAGATGTGGAGTAACATGTCAAGGACATTAAGTAACAACAGTCACACATAAAAGAGAATAGACACACAGAGAAAACTAAATATTCTATTCCAAAAGTGAATTTAAAAGCAAAACCCAGTCATCTAGCGCTCCCCTCTACATTAGAATAACATCCCGTTAGGTCAAAGCATTAAACATCTGGTGGTGGGGGTGTGTGGCACTAGTCAAGAGATGACAGATGATTGCATCATTTTAATGCTGCCAGGAGAGGCTGGGCTAATGTTGACACAAAACCTAATACTTCCTTGCAGAGGAACAGGCTGGCTCAGGCTCGGCCTCATCCCAGAGCAGAGCGCTACGAGGGCCTCCATCACGGCAAGCAAAAACCCCTGAACGCTGCAGGATTAGTACCCGCCTCTCTTCTCTAAACATGTGAGTACTTTTCTCACACGTTAATCGAAACACAGCTGTTTTTATTTTTATATGTATACAACTATAGCAAAACAAGTATTCAAAAAATCACAAATCATGAATAAATCATCATGTTGATTTAAAGGTTATTTTAATTGAAACAATAACTGGACAGTAAGGCATGCTTGGTAAAAACACAACGGCAGGGTGTATTGGGAGGGTGTACGGCTCCAGTCATGTAGAAAACACACTGCCAGGCCCAAAATCCACTCATGTCAGCGGGAATGCGGCATCCCGCTCACAAAGCAGAGCTAATTAAAAAACAACACATCGCAGGAGGATGCCCCCACGGTGCTAAAATAGAACTATCAGCACACCAGGGGATAACCCACAACTTCCTACTTCAAGCAAATTATCCCTGGACCAAAACTAACAGCAGACTTGAGCCAGGTTCCACTGACACTAAGGCCAGACAAGAACATTCAAACACTCAGCATTCGAATAATACAGAAATATATACACTTCTGTTAAACAACACTGTAAAATTGAACGGCAGAAGTTGAGGCATATCTATCTATCTATCTATCTATCTATCTATGCATACACAAACCCTGAGTGCACAGAAACCCTCATTACCTACTCCTCTCATGGTGCAGAAATCCTGTTGTCTATTTGAGAATAATTCAAATCACAACAAGTTAAATCCAACAGTAAGAAACATGATGTGTCTCTCTCACACACATACAAAAAATCTTTGCCAAAAACAACTTCTAATCTAGAGGAAGTGCATTATTCTCATTTTCACAACATTAGAAGCAACAATCATTATTTTCTTTTGCAGTAAATCTATTTATTCTGATAATTTTGAGTAATTATTAAATAAAAACACAGAAAAATAATTATTAAAAAATAAATATATAAAATACATATACATGTAGGCTATGTTTAAAAAATATGAATATAAAGCTATTATAATAACATTTACTGAAAAGAAAATAGTATTTGTAGCTTCCATGAATTTAAAATGTAATTTTAAGATCATAAAAGGTGTTTGTCCAAACTACTTTGTAAATGTTTGTAAATGACAGACTATTTACAATAGTCTATTTAGGTTATTTAATATTTTTCTGCCACCTTTAGGAAAGAAAGAAAGAAAGAAAGAAAGAAAGTGTAGGCTCCATCTATGGTAGTGGCGTTGCAATTCCAATTAATTCCAATACAGTAAAGAGAATTCTCACTAATAGCTTGAAAACACAATTATATTTCCATAACCTGTGTCTTTAATTGGCGCTAACGCAAAGGTCTGCTGAGCCATTTAAAGAACATTATATGCAGATCGTAATTCCAAAGCTAATCCTCTAATAACGAAAGCCTAGTTCCAAGTTATTCCAAGTTACTCTTGATTTTCCGCGCCAAAACAAGCTATAAATTCCCGCCGGTAAGCTCGTGCTGTAAATAACAGACAGAGAGGTGTGAATATGAACGTTTGCCCAATGTCGTGATTTACGGTTCTAATGATTATAGGGCATGAATCAATTGATGCTAGTATGTCATTAGGAGGAGTTCCACCAGAAACGGCCAAAGGCTTCAATTTGGTGCCACGGGCGCTTTTCGGGGTTGACAAGTACAACCTAAATGAACGTCATAAAAGTCAAAAAGGTGCAAATTACATCTACTAAGTGGCCCGTCATTGCGAAATAAATAAACAAATATTACTGCTAGCTACCTGTGTAGCGCGCGTGTGAGAGGAGCCCCATAGCAGAGGTGTGCATGCTGAAACGGAACGGCTGTTTATGAAATGGCAGGTTTTGTAATGTTTTGTAAAGGGAGATCAGACCAGGGAAATATGATTTACACGAACCTAACACCTGATTGACATTCACAAGGCCTTATAAAACATAACATAGCCTAGTTAAGATTGCAATTGGTGGATGCAAAGAAAAAAAAGTGAGAAATCTTTCCCAATAACAGGTAAACAAACAGTCATTTAAATAGGCTATGTAATCTAAATATAGCCTAATACCATAAATAACACGTTTTTTTTTAACATGTTTGGCCTGTCTCAGCGCTAGCTGCCGTCTCCAGGGTATGAAATATAAGACCAGAGCTATGAAATTAATTTTGTTAACACTAACTCTGAAGCTGAAAGAATTGGAGACTATTAAAGTCAGGCAGTAGGAATGGCCCTTTAATTATTGCATGGTGTCGGATAGGGACCTCCCAGTTATCACCATGAGAGAGGGAGCGATATTTCAAAACCCCTGACACAAAAGCTTGCAAAAGTAGTGACACATGGGGAGAAGACATGCAACATAAAGCGCCCTGCGGTCCACTCACAGCTTCAGGACCGGGTGAATATCAACACAGCACCCACTGTGCACATTCAAACTATCCCATACCATGACTACACACGATTTTATAACTGAGGAATAAGAAGTGCGATTCGAGAAGATTTGCTACGTTTTTTTTTTGCTACCGTACCGGTTAAAAAATAGGCATTTTGTAGGCTATAGGCTATGCATCACTTTTAGCGTTTGTACATTCATGATGGTATGGTTAAGGCTTGATTAAATCAAAAAGATTTTGATAAATAAAAAAAGGCCTAGAACGATAGAAATGGCCCCACGATTGTACAATTCAATAACAACAACAATAATTATACAATAATATTAGGTATAATAATAATAATAATAATAATAATAATAAATTAGCTAAATAAACTAATGAAAGAAAACTTGAATTAATTAAATTAAAAGAAATTAAAAGAAATAAAAGATAAAACAATAGTGCGTTATTAAAAAGAAAAAAAACCAGTTCGTTTATAATTTAAAGTCAGTCAAGAAATTGCCTCACTTAAATAATTTCTGACCATTTATGATTGACATGTAGGCTAAACGTAAAAATAAAATGAATCAACCCGCATCCATCTGCGTTAAATTGACATGGGCGCTACTACGACAGGTGATCAAATAATGATGTCGTCCTCGACTGATCGAATGATCGAAGAAAAGACTAAATTAAATGAAATCGCTTAATTTTGATTGTCATTGCGTTACAAAATATCACAGCTCAAAAAATAAAAAATAAAAAAAATCCAGTGCAGCGTAAACTGAAATGACAATTCAAACCAAACTATCACTCACTAAATCCAGGACTGACGTCTCAGTTTAGAAATAAGACAGTTTAGAACATGACAGCTGAGGAACTAAATTCATTATGGCTATAACACATAAAAGCCTAATAAATATAAAGATGATTCTTCGACAATACCACTTGGCGTCTCAATTGAAAAACAACAGAATTGTAAGATTGACAAGTTCAACAAAATCATACCACCAACGCCTCAAATAGCCTACTGTGAGTGTTATTGCGTAAAAACGAAAAATGTGCCCCTTTCTTTGCTTGATCACAGATGAATAAAAACAAGTCAAGCAAAACACTGCGTGCGTGTTACACCAATTATTTCTTTCAAATAATCCATGCCCTTACTGTTGGTAGTCGTGTTTGCAGTAAAGTTTCCTCTCCCGGAAGTAGCAGCTGGTGGTGAGCGCTTGTTGACACACGGCGCATTGCAAACACTCCTCATGCCATGAAGACTCGTTGACGCGCATCAGAAAGCGGTCGGATATCGGCCGCTGGCACCCCTCACACACCGCCTGATGATGGCACTCCGTCCCTGGAGAGCAAATGCATACTTTTAATAACGTTCTAACTTCATCTAATTTAAAAAAAATAAGTATACATAAATGGGCTATTGAACAAGTGGTTATGATATCAAGTTGTAATATTAGGCTGTACTAAATAAACCAATAGGCCTATGACACGGTGATAAAAAACAACAACAAATGGCGTGTGAATTATAACTGCCAGTTTACGAACATAAAGTAGCCTGTGTACGATAGGATTTTATCATCATTATTATTATTATTAGTAGTAGTAGTAGTAGTAGTAGTATTTACGCTCAAATTTTTAACAACGCACAAACTATCAGCCAAAACTACATTAAAAAAATGACATAAATGTGATTCTTAAATAATATTGTACTTTTTGTTTATTTACTCTATACAAAAAACAGGTGGAGTAAAAATTTCCAGCCATTATAAATAATAAAAATAGAATTGTGCAGGTGTTTTGTTGTTGCTTGTTTGCTTGTGTGTGTGTTTTTTTATTTTGTGTGTGTGTGTGTGTTTCAATGTGTGTGTGTATTTTTTGCGGTAGGCCTATTTTTTATTTGTTAGTATTTAAACGTTACAGTTATTAGTTAGAATGAAGCAGCCATAAGTGTGTGGATGAGAAATAAGTATAACCGTTTGATACCATGTAGTTAATTAGAATTACTTTGTAATTATTTGTGTAAACATGGCAACCTGAACTCTGTAAAATGAGAAATAAAAAGAACCCTTTGTGTAAAAAAAAAAAAAAAAAAGACAACACTAGAGTATCAAAATAAATGCATTACGTTGCGCATAAAATGTAAGAAAAGGTTTTATAGGTCAGTTGTGTAATGGGGTTATTTTCTCTGAGAATTAGCCTTGATTATTCGACAGATATGCGGCCGGCCGGTAAAATGCATGACACAGGAGGATGCATCCCAGCCGCCTGCATAGTTTGACTTGCCACAGTTTCAGCTTTAATTATCGCGTACATCTTGATAAAAACAGCATCATAAAATTCTCAGAAATCATCTTTTCGTATTCCAGGAATACGTGTTCACACTAGTAGGCTATAATACTGAAGACAATGAATAACTTACCCAGCATAACTCCAAGTGTAGCCTGTCCAGACCGCAGCGGATGGTCTTCGATTTTTATACCGTCCAACATCTTTAAATATTCCCACTGTTACCAGCAAGGAAGCGCCGTCCTAGTGACTCAGGACCTGTTGTAATATCCACAACAACACATTTGTCAGGGTTGCCCATGCTGCAAATCCCAAAACTATAGCACACAACATTACAGAAATCTCAACCTCACGGCTTTACCGCTAAAATGGCCAGCTCAAGAAAACTTTTCATTGCACTTGGCACTTGCAAGATTAGTATTTGCTCTCGATCAAACCTGGGCACAGAAGCAGAACAAGACATATCTATAAAACTTAAAACACGCACCAAGTCACCTGTTAGTTAGTGGCCGAGTCAATCTAGACGTTTTCTGCACAAAGCGCAAAGTTTGTATCCCGGTGTTGTGCTGTCTGTCACGAGCTGCAAGGGAAGATCCTCCCTTTCCTACACCGTGCACAAGTCGTCTCGTCCCGCAAAAAGTTTTCAGGAAATTAGTAAACTCCACGAAATCATAAAGGAGATGTCTAAACGTTAACTCTTAAATTAGTGCGCCATTCGGCTCCCTGCAGCTTGAGAAAGCTCAAAACTGAGATAGGCTTGAGAGAAAGCACCCTCCCCTTCTGGTCGCGTCACTTTGCAGACTATTGACTGACATAGGGATGCTATTGGTGCGCCAGTGTTCGTGCACTCTGCCGAGTGGAACTAAACGTGTTCCGCCTTCAAAATCGCATTGCCTCTCAAACTAGAGGCGCACAAGGATGGTAAACAACGTTACAAAAATTGTGGTGAAACAAATGAGTCTAAAAACACAGTCTAATTCAGACAAAAGCTTGGCCTAAAGAAAGAAAGAAAGAAAGAGAAAGTAAGTCTATAGTCTACATATTCATACATTTAAATATATTAATGGTTTTGATCACTTCAAGTATGAATTTGATGCCTGACAGACTATGTAAAATGTTGCATTTTAAGCCCTAAACCATTTTTTAAAAACAAGTACAGTGGCACGCATTTGACCACATTTTGGGCAATACGTGATTTGCGTATTAATGAACAACTGCTTCCGTCAATTTAACGAAATTAGACGCACGACGCAAAAAAAAAAAAAAAAAAAGAAGAGGAAAAAAGGAAAATACGGCAAAAATTCGTTTAATCTGTCAACAAAACAACAACAACAATGTATTATTAATGTTAATTTTATTCTTTATTATTATTATTAGTAGTAGTAGGATTAGAAGTAGCCTACATTTTTGTTTTGTTTGTTACAGTGCGATTACGGTGAATACACGGGAAACATGTCGTTTGTAATTAATCTGTGGCAGTGCATGCAATTACGCGATGTTGTCTCTTTTGTAATTAATCACAATAACGTCCAATTTGTAACATGCCTATTGTAATGTAAAATGTTACTGTTATTGTTGTTGATGTAAATAGATGGTGTCACTTCAAACCTTGAAGCGCATGTTACTCTTTGGTTTTATTCCGGCTGCTCCGAGGGCCTCTCCTCTCATGCAGAGGCTGCTGGCTTTGATATCAGGTAGCGGAGCATCACGCCTGGCCCGTCCGCATGCTTTGTGCTTTTGTGTCCATTATGAAGACTCGAACCTACTGACCCTCGTCTACGATGCACCTGGAGATCAGGGTCGATAACCAGCATCAGCGGCTGACAGAGTCCGATGAAATAAAAAGCAAACCCTTGTGCAGTCATAGGATGGCAGAGATAGAGTAATAATGCTACCGATTACACAGAAAAGATAAAAATCGAGCTAATGAGTTAAATGTCCCAGATTTTATTTAGTGAGCTTTGTGGTTTTGTTCCGGAGGGACCGCTTTGGTTAGATCTATTCTCATCAAAAAACCAATAAAGCAATAAAAAGAGGACGCATCTGAAAAAATGAAATGATGCAACAGATAAGTGATGAATCTTTTATACATTATTAAAATGTATAGCTTCTTTGTAATTTTAATATTGTGTTACCTTGCCAATTTATTCAAGAGAGTAAAGTCCAGTAAATCCATCCATTAGACTGTTGGTTCTTATTAAAAACAACGAACAATCGCTTAACTGCTTAAATGACAAAAACATGTTGCACAACATAATCTATAGCAGTATTGTAAGGATATATATATATAATTTTTTTTTTTTTTGCTCACCGTTTTGATCATGAAGGAAAGCAATAAATAATTTGTATTTAATGGCAGCTCGCTGCTTCACAAATGTTTGAGACAGGCTAACGATAGCCATGACTACCAATGACATACATTGACTACCTATATTGAGAGCAATTGTTTGTATCCCAGTGCTGGATATTTGGGTTGAGAATCACAAATGGTTGCGCCTTTCATCTTCAGGTCTTTATTAATTGCATGTGTCCTCAGTTGTTGCTAAGATTAACTACACTCATGTCAAGTTCTTGTTCTCTCTTTATATTTATTTGGAAAAGTCACTCTCAAAGTGTAAAAAGCCTCTGTTAAATGTTTAAAATTCGTCAAAATAAGAAAAGAAAATGATTGTGCGATATTGATTTAGCTCATTGCATATTTCATAACATATAATGGGATTTGGCCATTCAAACGTCAATTTTTTTATATAACAAATACCAACGACTTGCCTTCAATGCCTCAAGCCATATACTCAAGCATGAGAGTTAACACGCTCTTTTCCAAACATCATATAGCTACACTGAGAGGGAGGAATGCACGCGCTTAACTCCTCGCGTTATACAGAATTCGTCACGCTCCCCTGTTACCGCCTCATTCCCGGGATTCCGTACTACCTCCGAGCCATTTAGGAGACTTCAAGCAGTCGCCAAGTGAAATACCTATGACGACCCTTCATTATCAAGTAACCCCCACCAGCCCAACACCTTCAAAAATAAATGTCTTTAGCTGACACTAAGAAAACCGGCCACGGCGGTCAGTTCATTGCGGTCTCCTAAACGGTTTATTCTCGGTCGAACTCGAACTCAACTGAAGATGTATTTCTAGTAGGCTACTTTCTCCATTAGATTGCAGCAATGCCGCGTGATGATCAGAAAGGCTACTGATCAAATAATCAATCTACAGACAACAGGTGAGTCAAAGGACGAACTGTAAATTTAGATAAGAATAATAAATTGTGGGCATAGTTTAAAAATCGTTATTAATATTATTATCATCATTATTTAGTGTAACAACAATATAGTTTTAATCATTAGCAGGAATGTGGATAGATAGTAATGCAATATATATAAAATAACAAATAATAGGTTATACAATTTTCATTGCTATTATTTTTATATTAAAATGTATATTATTATTTCATTGTTATATTAAAATATAGGCTACTCAATAAATGATAAAAAACGGTTAAAACAAACAAACAAACATACAGCTTTTAAACCTAAATAACCAATAGTATTTCTGAAAATGTTTTTAAAAAATATTTCAAAAGCCATAAATAATTGTGGCACTATTTCCAGATTTAAGGTTAAAAACCCTTGTGTCTCACCATCATTAGGGGAGATCGATGGATCATTTACCTTGATTGAGGTTCACTGAACATCCTTTGTAGTGAAACTGGAGCCCGAGGGTCGTACTTGTGCCTGTGCAAGATTTGTGCAAGGCTCCCCCTTGCGTTTCAATTATGTTCTGCAAAGAAACGGCTAGGCTAAATGACTGCTTTAGGTAAATGTTGAGAAAATCATAATCATAAAAGCTTGCTATAAAAGATGTCTGAAGCAATTAAAATACAGAAAGAATGCATGATATGTTTGATTAACTGGAGGTAGGCTACACTAGGCCTACCAGAAGTTATGCCTTTTGAAAAAGAAAAACGGCTTAAACTAGTTTGCGAACCACCCAAGACCAGCAAACTAGCTTAGGCTTGGTTAAGATTTTTCCCCCAGCAGGGACGTGCTATGAAGAAAGTAATTGCTACAGAGAGGAATGAACTGTGTCCAAGGCCGTCAGCAATATGCTGGTGGCCTGACTTGTGTGTTTCTGGGACTTGGCCTTTTGTTTGGAACTCTGGTTTACGAAGTGTTTCATAAAGACGGATCTCATTGGACAAGCATGAAAGGCAATCAGGGCGAACGCCTTACATGTTTAGAGTCCCTTAAAAGTCGTTTGACTTCCGTCACTGGTGGCGCAAAGGCCCAAATGTTGTGCCCACAAAAGTTGAAAGGGTTTTAGTGAACGCACGAGATGTGTTCTGAACTCTGGCCTCTGAAGAATTTTGACAACGAGGCCCAAAAGCATGTGATTTATGTCATGTTGCTTGAGAAAGTCTCTTTAATTGTTTTCTTTCTCAGACACCCCTCCCTCTCTAAATGGTGCGCCTGAGCGGCAGGTGTGTGGCACGTGCACCATATAGTGAGTGAGAGAGGGTGAAAAAGCCAGTCTAAACTCAATAAAGGTTTGCAAGCTTTGCTACACTGTTTTAGTTAAACAACTCGGATAATTCGACCACAAGGTAAGAACAACACAACACGCATTAAGAGGACTTAAACTGTTTGTTTATAAAGAAATGAAATAATGGGGGAAAATTAAAAGAAAAAGAAAAGAATCACTACTATTGTAATTTCCAGAATATTTGACTGAAAAGTGTACAACGGCAATGTTTTTTTTTTTTTTTTTTTAAATTTAAGGCATTATTTAAATACTAATTTATCGACGTTTTTCGTTTTTTAAAAGCGCATTTAAATGTTCAATAAACATATCAAGATTTGATTCCTGTATCTGGTGGTAATAATGTGTTTTTCCATACTTAATCAAAGTTTGAGAAAAGTGGTAAAATATAGCTCATAATGTAGGCTATATACCCAAACAACTAACTAGCTAAATGACAGATTAATAATAATAATAATAATAATAATGATGATAATAATTAATTAATTAATTAATTAATTACATTGTACGTTCATCAAACGAAAATATAAAATTCAAAGGAAGGGGATTTTGTTTAGTTTCTATTAAAAAAAAATCTAATTAATATAAAACTGCCAAATAATTTCGTTTCCTGAGGGGAGCATTCCCTTCAAGTGTAATGCGAGATATTAAATTATCAGCTAGTTCACATTTTTTAGCATCGTTGCCCAACCTTGTTACCAATATTAATCATTGAGCGCTTTACAATAAATTATAAATGGTTATAATGCAGACAAAAACAAAACCATTGATAACAATATAATAAAATTATGTCATATGCAACAACAACAACAACAACAACAATACTAATAATAATAATGGTTAGTCTGTATACTATGTGCATAAAACTATAGTGTCAATTATGACGGTAAAGGAAGTATGAAGTGAAGTATGGAATGTGTTTAAGCTCTGTAGCAACACCGCAGATGTGATCACGGACTCTAAGCTTGTCTCTCACTGAAATGATAAGCTGTGTAGTTTTCCCAGCTGAGACGCGGCATCAGGAGATGCGCTCTGAGAGCATCACTGCAATCTAACGATGCTTACATTGCCTTTGATTGCAACGAAATAACGTCATCGAAATTTATATACAGATTTACATATATATATATATATATATATTAGATGATTATAATATCAATTGGAAAAACTACTACTACTACTGCTACTACTACTACTAATAATAAAGATTAATACAAAATAACAATTCGTTAATTAAACGAAATTTTCCAAAAAATGTTACGAAACATTCAACAACTTTTAGTCAACAACTTGTGCTACACAAGAAACGCAATCAAGTTTAGCTGCAGTATAACCGCGGTAAAGTAGCTAATGATGTTCTAAAATTATAAATTTTCTTTAGATATAAAATTATGTTAATTAAATAATTAAAATTATTTTTTACTATGTAATTAAAATTACATAGTAAAGATGCATGTTAGATGTTAATCTACAC